ACTAAAGAATACAGAGCTAAAACAAAACTACCGAACTATAGTTAAATCACTAAAAGAATACAGAATTGAAACTAAAGCTACAGAACCACAGATAAAGAGACCATCGTTAAGCTATAATGATCAACTGACACTTGCAGAAAATCGTGCGCCGCATTACAGAATAGGTATCAATCAGTACGACAATAATTCTTTCTTAATTGGCGTCATTCTCGCATTTCTTTTACAGCAAAGGTCGCTCTCATTCGCAAGGCTGGCCGTGAAGAAATATCACCCTGCACACCGACAGCAGCGGGCGCCATATTAATTTCGATCGGCGTGATCGGTTTATTATTGATTTCGGTGATAACTTTCTCATTGATCAGACGTCATTCGCGATCCAAGAAATTAGGATCTATTGCCGACATAATGTAGCGTATTCGCCATCGTATATATATATATATATATAGATAGATAGATAGATAGATATGATATATTATTGTATCAAACTGCTGAATTATCATTCCGATGCTCGTCAATTATAATCGAAATCATTCAACTGAGTAACTTACGCCATACGTAGGCCTACATAAAACATGACGATAACGTGATATTAAATATGAAAAGCGACGCGTGCACGTTTGTAAATCCTCTGCGTAAAACAGATTCTACATGGTTTTCTATAGTGTTTCATACTTCGTGTAATATAAATAGGATGTCCATAGCGATAATTACCTGTTAGCGTAGGCATATATACTTGAATATCATTTCTATTTCAATGACCAAGGAGTGTAGGAATCTGCTATCGTTAAATAGCCTGAACACATGTGTGTGAATATATGTGATAAGATATGATGTAATCACACTCATAGAAGTGTGAGATGTAACAGTGTACAGTATCAGCCTGCATTGTTAGCAAATTCTTGTCACATGAGCAGTTGTCGATGGAAAAAAGTGCCTGCGTAGATACGAGATTGCGAGGCCATTGTTACCCTCCACGATTCGCACGAGGCACGCATATCTCATAGTTGATTAATTAATTCTGACGAATAAAGAGAGAAATCGGTGGATTTCCTTACATTTCTAATCTCCTCGTGGTCTTTCACATTTCACACGCGCGTTTGCGCTTACGACTCTTGCGTCGTGCGTGCTAGCCGCCTACTGCGCGTGCGCGACCCCAGCATCCCTCGCTCGGAGAGGCGCGTTTCAAACGCCACCAGCTGATAGGCGTCAGTTATGCGTGAAGCACATACATACAAACACCGATGCAACAGATGTGATCGTGGCCTGGCAGCTCTTCGACGCTCGAACATTCTGTCGTGTGTTTTCGGCTCTACGGATGCGCGCTTAAAAAATACTTACGGCATTATATCTACAGCTTCTCTCTGGATGGCTTGCATGTTGATACGGATCAAGCAAGCTACTGTTATAGTTCCACGGGCGACTGCTTGAGATCAAATGACATTCTAAACAACATCGAGAATGTAGATCCTCTGGGTATTACTGGGTCTACTCTTCAAGGTAAGTGAAACGGAATCGTTAATATAGTTGGTTTTCGGCGTATGAATAATGACTGCATGATGACGAACACGCTGATTACGGTGATCACGTGGGTGCTGAAGCTGCGTTCATTGTTAGGTTATGCCGGGTTGCATATGATTGACGGCTTCGTCACGTGTGCTGTCGGGGGGCACCTTTGCGTTCGTCTGCTACGTAACCGGCGCAGGTACGATCTCTCTCAAGGCCACCTCGGCCTACGCCATTACCGACCGCGCGCGCGCGCGCGCGCGTGTGTGTGTGTGTGTGCGTGCGTGCGTGCGTGCGTGCGTGTGTGCGCGCGCGTGTGCGCGTGTGTGTGTGCGCGTGTGTGTCTGTGCATGTGTGTGTGTGTGCGTGTGCGTGTGCGTGTGCGTGTGCGTGTGCGTGCGCGCGGGTGTGTGTGTGTGCGCGCGTGTGTGTGCGTGTGTGTGTGTGCGCGCGGGTGTGTGTGTGCGCGCGCGTGTGTGTGCGTGTGTGTGTGTGTGTGTGTGCGTGCGCGCGTGTGTGTGTGCGCGTATATGTGGGGCGCAGGGGTTCTTGTCATGACGGACATTTAGAGACGTATGCATGCTTTGGCGTGGTCATCTCTTCTCTGTTTAAATGCTTTAGGCGCGTCTCACGCTAAATTCTCTACTTAGCGCGTTCACGCTGCGTGTGATTTCGGTCGAGCAGCACGCGTCCGGCGTGCGTAACAAGCTTCTGATAGATTTCGCACGCCTTCTACACTTGTTAAGGGTTCCTCGAACACGCGCGCTTTTGCTGTCAACAGTTCGCCTCGTTGATGCTAATAATCGTTAATTAAGAAGCTGTTGAATATAATCTAATTAAATGTACTGAGGGGTTTGTTCTCAGAATGATCATTAATATGCTTGACTATCGTCGGTTTAAAAATTTTGGTGAATGTCTAAAATATACATGTCACGTCACTTACATTAAGACATAATTACATTTAAGACATCTGACGTCACAACTATTTGTGGCTTTTCTGACAACTTTCACGTGGGTTATAAAATAACTCTAATATCTAGTTTTAAATCTTGAATCTAGTAGTACCATTGTCTTATTTTAATTCCTATAAGGGGGCCACCGTACGAGTCAGCACTAATCTTCACAAGGACAAATTCGGTGATTACTCCGATGAGTACTCCAATCCGATTACTCCGATATGTCAGTGCACTTTCCATCGATTGGATCGCACAACACTTTGCTTCGACACGCACGATGGGTTCCCATCCACCCAGCTCTACGTGCGTATTTATTGTCTATCGGACTCTAGCACAGGGCAAATATGTACCGAGCTATTTATGTATTCCGCGCGTGTGTTATATCGATTAGGTAGTACGACGACCACGATGCTAGCGATGAGATGTGAAATATAAGTGGAATCAAAGTAGGCGATGCACTGGGGGGGGGGGGAATTGTCGCCTATATCGGCTATCGATACGCCTATAGCTGAGCGCGAGAATGGGCGCTTTTTAACCTTTACCAACGCAGGAAATCGCGCATATGCGTTAACGTGGGCGAGGAAGGACTTTGCGCGCATGCAACCCTCCCTTCGGGTAGGATTTTCCATTTCGTTCTTCCTTTCGGATGACGGAACCCCCCCCCCTTCCCCCCGGCGCTTGTACGTGCAGCCAGCCACCCACACGAAGGAAGGAAAGCACGAGAGGAATCAATATGCACTGCTCGGTGTCGCAATACGGAAGAGTAAAAGCGGTGATGTGCCGCCGGAGACCAGCAGGCTTCTCATGTTTCGATCGAAGACATTCTGCTCGGTTGGCTTGCCGGCATGCTTTCTGTATGTATTTGCCCCTGCAGCTCGATTTAGTTTCTATAACTCGTATTTCGTTCAGATCTATAGTAAGTTGAATTTCGCTCGGACCCAGTGACTTGAATTCCGCTCGGGTTCAGTTTAGGACTCCGGAACATCAATTAGTACCGTGACCACATCGCGAAATCTAACTCTAACCATAACCATAACCACATAGCTAACCCTAACAATAACCATAACCATAACCACATAGCTAACCCTAACAATAACCATAACAATAACCACATCGATAACCCTAACCCTAATCCTAACCATAACCACATCGCTAACCCTAACTCTAACCATAACCATAACCACATCGATAACCCTAACCATTACCCTACCCATAAGGCTACCCATAACACTAACCATCACCTCAATTCCGACTCTATTCCTAAGCATGAACCCTATAGCCTTACTAACTCTAATGATAACTCCCTACCCTAATCTTAACACTAACAATAACCATAACCACTAACCCCGACCCTAACCCTAACCCGTAAGGCTACCCATAACCATAAAAATACCCTCTAACACTATCTATAACCATAACTATAGCAATAAGCCTAACCTATTAACTATAACTCCAAAATAACCCTACCTTTAATCCTACTCCTAACCTACTTCTAAGCCCATCAATAAAATTAGCAAGTACAAATTTTGTACGTAGACGTAACGTAAGACGTGAACTCGTGAAATAATACGGTGCGCGTGCACAATCTCTTAGGATTATCCCTTAGGATCCCTTAATATTAGGATTTTCCGTCGCAGAAATTACGGTGAAAAAAAACGCGTCGTACGCACAATAACGTAAGTTCATAGCCTGCGGCAGAGTATGTAGGTTATTTATATTACGCAGCAGAAGTTTGTGTGTGTGTGTGTGTGTGTGTGTGTGTGTGTGTGTGTGTGTGTGTGTGTGAGTGTGCGTGTGCGTGTGCGTGTGCGTGTGCGTGTGCGTGTCTGTGTAGAGGAGAGGGATGGGGAAGTGAATGGCCGTGCGAAAGTCAACGTACGGAGCAGAACCTCCGGCGGCGGCGGCGGCGGTGGCGGCGGCACCTGGGGATGACAGGCCGCCACGCTCCCTGTTTATTAACGATGACAGCGCGCGCAACGTTCAGTTTCAGTTCGGTTTCGCTTGCACGCACGCACCGACGAAACGCGCGCATTTTTCACGAGCAATGCGTCGTCAACACATCCTGGGAGCTTTCAGTACGGTACTTGCTCGCATCTACATAGAATGCCACGACGGCGGGTTAGCTAGTCGCAGGAAGAGGGCATTGGCAGCAGCGGAGTAATTCAAACCAGCGGAATGGCCTGCGAGGAACTTGCGCTCAGTCTGGCATCACGCTGAGCGCTTACAACTCGGCTGCCAAGTGAGCACATCGCCTACCTCGATCGTCCATCCTCGCCCGCCGCGTCTGTCGGCAGCGCGGGAGGCGCTCTGGCGGTGCAGGGTGCCGCGGCTACGCTATCGCCTCGGCAGACTGTGTTTTCTCACGGCATTCGCGTGTAATAAATATAAACAACATGTGCGAGCGGCCGGCGAGCGGCCGGCAAGCGAAAAACCTTATGTAACGCGAGAAATCGCGAACGCGGGCCGGCACGCATGCGTATATGCGCGCGCCTGGACGCGTGTCAGGCGAGTTCATTTAGGATTCTGTGTTTGCTGTTGGAAACGCTTACCAACGCGCATAGCTTAACTCGAGCGCGGGTGCGGGAAGGAGGGGGAGGGAGAATAAGGTCATGCACGAAAGGAAAGACAATTTGTCGCCCGAATAAACACTGCCGACGAAATTACGCATATAAACGCGAACGCCGACGTCATAAAATTGTAGCGCAATTAGAGCAGCAGATTGAAGCGCGGTTTCGCTAAAAAAAAATTCCACCAGCCGGCTATGTTAAACACAAGAGGCGGGACTATGAAGAATTGAGATGAGGGGTTGACGATTTACCACGAAAGTTCTATTGTAAAACACCATACTTTACGCTCTAAGCCTACTAATTTTACCACTTTCAAACAGTATAGTGTTTAACAAAAACATTCCAGTTTCGTCCGGAAAAAAGAAGCTAAGATAACATTTAATATTTTTTTATTAAAAGACATGTGTCCTCGTTAACACTTCCAAACTAGAGTCCCTTTATATAGACCCCCTTTATATAGACCCCCTTTATATAGACCCCCTTTATATAGAGTCCCTTTCTATATTAAGGGACTCGATTACAAACTGGTACGTCGCGCCACCTACTGGTCAGGCGGGTGGTTGGTTATTTTTTTAGCGAGAGCGCATTCTCGGATTCGTAGCAATTGGATCGAAATCGGTCGAAGGTTAGCGGGTTCATACACGCGATCCGGGGCAAGGGGGGCAGTTGCCCCCTAGATTTTGAAGCAAAACAATATAATAAATTGTTCTACTAAAAGAGAATGGTCGTAGTCAGAATGAAGGCTGTACACGTACTTAAAAGTGCCTCAAATACCATCTCCTACGATCTACATTTTCAAGATTTTCTGGGGGAGACCCCACACCTATTTCTCATCCCCTCCTTGAAATCCTGGACACGTCACTGCCCCTCCCCCCCACCTAGGCATTTGCTAAGCCTACGGTACTGTGCTGAGCAGTGGGTTGACCAGGGGCGTGAGCGGGAAGTAGTGAGTAGGCTCATGAGGTAACGCGAGTAAATAGAAAGTACACGCCCATTAAATAATGTGTGCGGAGTCGTCGATACGCTAGTGTAATAATAGGTTAACAGAACGTATAATGGCGTGAGAGTGGAAGGCAGGGTACGATGCTTAAAACTACATGGTTATGCGCTGAAACCACTGGGTAATCGAGTACATGACCGTAAAATAACGGGTGCGGAGTCGGTACGCTAGTAAAATAATAGGTTAACAGTTAGTACACTGGTGTGAGAGTGAAAACTACGCGACATCTTCTGAAATGCCCCGCTATTACTAGAGCCCTGTAGACCTGGAAACCTTGAGGCTTTCAACCACCGCGCTAGGTCCTGTGTGCTGCAGTGGCTAGGTCGAGTGTAGCGTAGTGACCCGAGCAGAAGAAGAGTGGAAACCAGGATACGATTCGTATCTAAAACTACGTAGTTATGCTCCGGATCACATCTACCACTGGGTAAGGGAATATACGCCCGTAATAAATAAACTACGCTGGTAAAATAA